TTAGATTTTTTGGTTATAGTATGAACTATTTATGAGAACCTTTGTGTTGAATTTGTAATCCTTAGCTATAAAAACTGAACATTTTATAATTTTTTAATTACAACGATTGATAATTTTCGAGATTTTGATAAATTTTGTCAAAATTCCAACTTTAAATGCTTATAAAAAAAAAATCGTGCCTATGTATTTTTAAAATTTTTCAACTGATATTGTAACAATATATAAGAAAGCTTGTATTAAATTTTCAGACTTTTTGGCAAAAAAAATAAAATTTTATTGACAATTATAAAAAAAAAAACTAAAAAAATTGAAAGCTGTTAATGTCCATAAACAGCTCAAAAAGAGTCAAAATATTTTCAAAATTTTATGGTGTATAGGAAATGCTAATATAAACAGTCAGTGAAATTTTCGTGTATCTACAGTTATTCGTTTTTGAATTACAACAAAATTAGTTAATCGCTACATGAGAAATTGAGTGAACATCCAATGTTGTAAAAATTTGAATTTCAAACGCTCATAAAAATTTAATTTGACTTTCCGGTAGAGATTTTTTTATTGATAAAGGTAGACAAAATTATGAGTAATCTTGTATTACATTATAAAATCTTAGATATAAAAAGAAAAATTTTTACGAATTCTTAACTCAAAATAATTCGCTAATTTTCGTGATTTTTCCATATTTTGTCAATTTTTGAACTTTAAATGCTTATAAAAAAAAACTGTGACTAAGGATTTTTAATATTTTTCATCTGCCTTTGAAACAATATATTAGGAGCCTTCTATTAAATTTTCAAGCGTTTGCAACCAACAAATAAAATTTTATTGATATTTTTAGAAAAAAAACTAAAAAAAAATGGAAAATGAAAATGTCCCTAAACAGTTCAAAATAAATCAAAATTTTTTGAAAATGTTATCGTGTATAAAAAATGCAAATATAAAACCAGTGAAAATTTCATGTATATACGTTCATTTGTTTTAGAGTTACACCAATAACCAAAATCGATTTTTTGGAAAACCAATTTTGCGTAAAAATTCCCGTTTTTCCTTAATTTTTATGTTGTTTTTCCCGGCGCTTGTGAAAACTACTGGGAAATTAAAAAAAATATATAAAAAAAACACACATCATTGTAAAACCAATACATTCATCGCTCCGCTCAGAATCTAAAATACAAATCATATTAATATCTACTTTGGGTACTAAAACCTACTAAAAAAATGGAACAGTTGTTTTTCAATAATTTTAAAAACTAAAATTTTTAAAATTATTAGGAATGCCTCTTAAATATGAAAAAAATGTTCTATACACACAATAGATATTTATACATAATATTTATAGAAAACCCTCTATTAGTACATAGTTATAGTCTATAGTATATAGGGTAAATCTTAGGTGTTTAGTTTATGGTGTGTCATTTTATATTTTATATTTTGTATAATTACCACGAAAAGTTGTTCACATAAATTAATATAGTAGGTTTAATAATAATACAAATAACTCACGAATATGATGGTGTCCGGACTGGTCAGCTGTTGCTACCTAAAATGCATTAAATAATTTTAATAATATTAAAATTTAAAACACTCGTATCCAATAGATTAACCTAAGCATTTGGCCGATGATGTAAGTATCTGAAAATAGTTATTTCACAAATAATATAATATTACACACAATTAGGAAAGGCAATTTGAGGCTGTGCTTACTATAATAATAAATCTTTCGTTCAGAACTTCGCACTTAGAACGGATATACAAATAATCGTGTCGTGCGTAAGTCACAATAATAATATAAACACTATTCTTAGTTTAATACCACAAACAAATTATTTAATGTAATCTTCAACTTGATACTCTCAACAAACACATATCACTAATAAGAACTACATCAAACAAAAATGGGTGTGGCACTTTTGTTTTGATGTGAGAAAAACCAATAACCGTATATCATAATATAAGAAATATAGATTAGCTAACAGATGATTATAATTATTATTTATTATTATTAAATAAATGTGAGCGTGTGTACGGGTATAAAAAGATAATCACTTATAGACATCGGCAGTGGCCAGGTCAGTTGGCAGTAACTGACCTTAGGTCGATATACCTATCGATTCTTATCCGAATCGAACGAAAATACAATCTGTATAATATAATATTATAAACGAGACTGTCCTGAGTTGGGATCGCTGGGAAATACTGATGAGCCTTCGTGTGTACGTGTGTACTATATATGTATGTAAATAATTGTACCTGCGATAGTAGGATAGTACCTGTATTATGAATATAACAGATGCATAATATATGAAAATTAGGTATGCAATGGGTAACAACATTTGTTATTAAAATTTACACTATTTATGCACTGCAATCTGTGTTTTCTACGTAAAGTAAAATATAGGTTCGATGAACGTAAGTCTGGAGCAGTAAAAGGGTCAAGTCATTAAATTTTGGCAGATGTATCAAAATAGAAACATGGTTAAGTGGTAAAGTTTAAGTGATAGGAGTGGAAAATATGGATTTTTCCTCGATGATTAATTGATGTGGATTGGTCATAAAATATAGATAAATAATAACTCACGGCTTTGTCTATGAGAAGAATGGTCAGCTGCTGAAAACCTGTATAATACATTGCATAATAATAATATTAATAATAACACACTCGTAAATAGTAGATCTATCAGCTCTATATTAGAGCTGGTACAAGTACAAATAATTAATTTTTTGCCGATAATATAAGTAGGTACCCAATTATAAATGTCGAAAAAATAATATGATTAACTCTCTTAGCGAAAACTATTTGAGGATATGCTAAGTATAATATCGTGTTACGATTTGACAGTACGTTAACACTTCTTAGATTTCTACAAGGAAAAAATAATTGAATATAATCTAACACGTACTACTCACAACAATTCAATCGCACTAATAACAACGACTAAAACGTGCGACGCTTTTGTTTTCGATAAGAACAAAAAACATATTAACATAATATAAAATAATTGTGAAGAGCTAACAGCTGATTATAAATATATATATAAATGTGTGTGAGTGTGTGGGCTGGAATAATATTGTGATTAATGATTATATTTAATGTATTGACAGTGGTGGTGGTCAAGGCCAGACAACAGTAATTCACTACGCGAGTGTTATTTGAATTGAACAGATAAAAAAACCTTGTGTACAAAAACGATTCCGAGCAATAGCCAGTCTGTCAGAATATTAATTATATTATAATGATAATTTCAAATTTCAAAAAAAAATACTAAAATCCTTATTCTCCTTTTAAATATCTATAATGGGTATCGAGTATCGACTAAGTGACGAATCTGCTAAATATATCAGCCCGGAAAATTGTCACACGGTAATAAATAATATTGTAATAGGCTAATTAATAATAATTTCCCATAAGCCATTTTTTATCAAGAATTCTCTTATTTATAATTTAATTTAATATAATATACGTAGGTACGTTTAACATGTGAGTAAGTAACTTTTATTTATAATCACTCAAATTACCAACTAGAGTCACTGTACTACCACGAAAGATGTTAAAAAATAAAATAAAATCATTTTTAGTGCCACAAAAAAAGCGATGATTGGCACAAAATTATTTTTTTAAGCGCACGTCATTACAAAATCAATACATTCATGATACATCGCTCATCTCAGAATATAAAATATTAAAACAAATCGTATTAAGTTATTTTCAAATATATTATGAACTTCGTTTGTAGAACGAATGACAACATACCTATTACATATTATATTATGTAACGTCCTGCTATTCATTTTATTTTATTAATACCACAGAGTCACAGTTGAATTTTTTATTTAGTCTGAAAGGGGCACAGATTAATTAATAATTATATAACTATTTTATCGAGCCCGCAATATCCCAGTGTTCAGCAAATGTTTAGCACAGCTCACTGGCTGGTCCTTGCTCACTATTCATTCGTCACTCGAAGTATGCAAGTAATAGTTTTCCTGTACTAGTTCGTATAGTAGAAGAAGTGCTTTTGGGCTTGGAATACAGAATTCTGTTTGCGGTAAAATGTTTTTTATTTTATGATTTTTAATTTGTAATAGGTACATTTGTTATAATTGTAATGAACGATCTTCTTTATATGGTAAACTTGTATTTTATTTTGTGATTTTTAGTTTATAATATATTAATTATAATTTAAATCCAAATTAAACAATTTCACCGATCAAGAATTACGGAATTAATCCTCAAAACAAAATATTTCGATAAATTAAAAGAATTTTTATGTTAATTTAACATATTATGAACAATGTACTCAATCAAATATTTGATGAAATACCTGCTCAATACAACGATATAAAAACTATATGAGAAACAACAACTTTTTTTCAATGATTGACTGAATAAATGTAATAAAACTATATTTCATTTTTTTACAGCTTATCCTTAACGTAATAAAACAATTTAATAATTGTATCAATTTTACAACCTATTTATATTGGTAAATAGTAATGTATTATATCTTTAAAAATGATAAAATGACAGAGTAAATTTTATTTTATTCAGTGTCTGTTTATAGCTTAATTGCATATATAATTTTCATTAAATACTAATTATTCATTCATAATCGACAAAGCTAGATTTTTAATTCCTAATATTTAATAATCATATATAAATACTTAATTTGATATACTAAATATTAATCGTTAATATATATTAAGTTTGTTATCAAAAAATACAATGTATCTTATCCACTTTTTATAATTATTCAACAATTCACTTTCATTGGAAAATGTTATGCAATAATGTTGTGTTCCGTAGATAATTTTTTCTAGGGAAAGTGAATTTTATTCCACTTGTTGGAATATTGGAATTAATATAACCTGTAGGTTTCCCGCAGGTTGTATTAATTCAGTATATAATTGTGTAGATCGGAGGTTTTGATTGTATATCACGGCAGAGATTAAAATCAGTGGAATGTTATCATCCCAGTCTTGACAAATGGACATCAGTCTCCGAAATGTTTGAAGGTCACAGTGCTTTGGATGTTGGCGTTTTAGATGGAGTACTGTATGCTGTAGGAGGTCACGATGGAGTAAATGTGCACAGGAGTGTTGAAGCATACCGACCAAGTACAGGGGATTGGACAACTGTTGCAGAAATTAATTTGTGTCGACGCAAAACAGGTAAACTTCTGGTTTCTTAATTTTTAATTTTTTCATGAAATATGTTTAATCTGAGTTTAACTCTTCAATATAGGAGTAGCAGTATTAGGTGGATTATTGTATGTCGTCGGTGGTTATGACGGGCATTCTGTTCTGGATTCTGTAGAATGTTACGACCCCAAGACCAATAGATGGGCCATAGTCAAAGCCTCAATGAATGTTCCATGAAAATATCCAGGAGTAGTAGCCATTGAAAGTCCACAATGTTTTAAAACTTGTTGGTATTCTTGATTTTTTTTTTGAAAATTTAATACAAGGCTCTTACTATATTGTTACAATGGCACTTGAAAAATATTAAAAATCCTTAGTCACAGTTTTTTTTTTTATAAGCATTTAAAGTTAAAAATTTGACAAAATATGGAAAAATCACGAAAATTAGCAAATTATTTTGAGTTAAGAATTCGTAAAAATTTTTCTTTTTAAATCTTAGGTTTTAAAATGTAATACAAGATTCCTTATAAGATTATCTACCTTTATCAAAAAAAAAAAAAAATTTCTATAAGAAAGTCAAATTAAATATTTATGATCGTTTGGTTCAAATTTTTACAACGTTGGGTATTCACTCGATTTCTCATGTAGCAATTTCTTTATTTCGTTGTAATTCAAAAACGAATAACTCTAGATACATGAAAATTTCACTGAATATTTATATTAGCATTTCCTATACACCATACAATTTTGAAAATATTTTGACTCTTTTTGAGCTATTTACGGACATTTACCGCTTTCAATTTTTTTTAGTTTTTTTTTTCTATAAATATCAATAAAGTTTTATCTGTTGGGCCAAAAAGTGTAAAAATGTAATACAAGGCTCCTGATATAGTGTTACAATATCAGTTGAAAAATATTAAAAAATAAATAAGCACAATTTTTTTTTATAAGCATTTAAAGATCGATTTTGACAAAATTTATCAACTTTAAAATTGAATAATTATTTTGTAGTTAAAATGTATAAAATTTTCAACTTTTATATCTAAAGATTGAAAATGTAAAACAAGATTCCGCGTAAGTAGTTAATTCTGTTACCAATAAATCTAAAAAATACATGAGTACAGTTTATTTTTATAGTCATTTTAAGTTCAACATTGTACAAAATTACATAAAAAAAAACCTAGAATAACTATTTTAGTTATTTTGTTGTGATTGTGTAATATTATTCGTGGGTACTTGAAACTTCTAAATTACACTATTATATGTATATCTATGGAGTATGGTCTATGATAGTATCAGGTTTTGTTGTTGACATATAACGCATTATAAGTACCTAATGGATATTGTGATATGATTAATTTGGATTTTATCATAGGTATTTAATATATCTTATACCTAGACTGACATACCGTCTCCACTCAGAATCGTTTTTCTGTTATAATGATATTCATATAATATCATTGAAATCAAATTTAATACTACCCATTATACAGTGACCCACTTGTAACCTACTATACAGCAGAGCACCTTTTAGATTCTGAGTTTAACGATGAATGTATTCATTTTACAATCATGTGTGTTTTTTTTAAAATTTATATTTGTGTCTGTGTATACGATAAGTAGTCAAAATAATGTTTCAATTTTCAACTTCAGTATCTCGTTCGTGTTGAAAGTGAAGCTTGACGTACTAGTGATTTTAGCATTAATATAATAAGTAATAACACGACAATATGATTATGTATTAGTATTAAGTATAATATATAATAACTTGGGCTGGGATTTCGATGCACTTTGCATTGTTTTCCTAAGCTTACTGTGCAATGCTCGTCTTGTCACAAATTTGTTTTATGTACATTTGAATGAGAATAAGAAAGTTTATTTTGCATTTTTTGGCATTTTTTAGTTTTTAGGTCATTTTCTTAATTTTTTAGGGCATTTTAGAGTTTTTGGAGCATTTTTTGAGTTTTTGGAAACCAAGTATGAATTTGAAATTTTATTTTAAGATTTTTACACCAACATGGTTTTTAAATAAATATAACAGATTATAAGTAGGTATTTGTAATTTGTATTATATTATCGGACAAGGTTTGAGTAACCTCTACAAGCATTTAATGTTAAATAATCTTAAATCGTTCCGATTATATCGTTTGACGTTCAGTACGAGTTTTGTCGTCGTTAACACCGTTTCTAGTTAATTTTTTTACTAAAACTATGTATTGACAGCTTACACTTTTAATAGATTTTTGTAATGCATTTTTTTAAACTTTTTATTGTAATTTATACTAAAATTATTTTAAAAAAAAAATTTTTAGATCATAAAAGCATTTTTTTTAGGACATTTTTCGGGATTTTTTAGGGCATTAAAATCCCAGCCCTAATGGTAACGTACAACTGGACAATTAAACTGTGACTATACAGTATACACATTACACACACACCGCGTACACTCGGTATGACAGCGTCTGTGCAAGTGAGTATTACATACATCAAAGGCCCTATTTATATGAACAATCGAAGCCATCCCGTATCCGTATATAATATAGAAAGCGATAGTAAAGGTGTTGCACAGCAATATCGTAACTGCATAAGTATCTATTAGAAAACGACATTGTACACGCAAGTGTGCTTACATGGTTTGAAATGATTGAATACTAATATTAATTGTATATTTGAACAGTTCGATTGGAAAGTGAATCTAGTTAGTGCAATCGGGATGTCAAATTTTAAAATTCCCAATGGTTTTCACAAGCGCCGGGATTAAACACTTACAAATTAAGGAATAACGGGCATTTTTAAGCAGAATCTGTTTTCCAAAAAATCGATTTTGGTTTTTGGTGTAACTCTAAAACAAATGAACGTATATACATGAAATTTTCACTGGTTGTTTATATTTGCATTTTCTATACACAATACAATTTTTAAAATATTATGATTTGTTTTGAACTGTTTAGGGACATTTTCATTTTCCATTTTAGATTCTGAGCGGAGCGATGAATGTATTGGGTTTACAATGATGTATGTTTTTTTTTATATTTTAGATTCTGAGCGGAGCGATGAATGTATTGGTTTTACAATGATGTGTGTTTTTTTTTTATATTTTAGATTCTGAGCGGAGCGATGAATGTATTGGTTTTACAATGATGTATGTTTTTATATTTTTATTTATTTATATTTTAGATTCTGAGCGGAGCGATGAATGTATTGGTTTTACAATGATGTATGTTTTTATATTTTTATTTATATTTTTATATTTTTATATTTTTATAATTTGTGTCTGTCATCACGTTTTAGGACAGTAAAAGTGCTTCGATTTTCTTCAATAGTACCTTTTCTGATAGGAAAGTGAATCTAGTTGGTACTTTGGGGGGTCAAAAGTAAACATTTTCCAGTAGTTTTCACAAGCGCCGGGGAAAACAACATAAAAATTAAGGAAAAACGGGAATTTTTACGCAAAATCGATTTTCCAAAAAATCGAATTTGGTTTTTGGTGTTACTTTAAAACAAATGACCGTAGATACATGAAATTTTCACTGGTTGTTTATATTTGCATTTTCTATACACGATAACATTTTCAAAATATTTTGATTTATTTTGAACTGTTTAGGGACATTTTCATTTTTCATTTTTTTTTAGTTTTTTTTCTAGAAATATCAATAAAATTTTATTTGTTGGTTGCGAAAGCTTGAAAATTTAATAGAAGGCTCCTAATATGTTGTTTCAAAGGCAGATGAAAAATATTAAAAATCCTTAGTCACAATTTTTTTTTATAAGCATTTAAAGTTCAAAAATTTACAAAATATGGAAAAATCACGAAAATTAGCAAATTATTTTGAGTTAAGAATTCGTAAAAATTTTTCTTTTTAAATCTAAGATTTGAAAATGAAACACAAGATTCCTTATAAGATTATCTACCTTTATCAATAAAAAAATCTCTACCGGACAGTCAAATTAAATTTTTATGAGCGTTTGAAATTCAAATTTTTACAACATTGGATTTTCACTCGATTTCTCATGTTGCAATTTCCTTATTTTGTTGTAATTCAAAAACGAATAACTGTAGATACATGAAAATTTCACTGAATGTTTATATTAGCATTTCCTATACACCATACAATTTTGAAAATATTTTGACTCTTTTTGAGCTGTTTACGGACATTTTCAGTTTTCAATTTTTTTAGTTTTTTTTTTTATAATTGTCAATAAAATTTTATTTGGTGGGCCAAAAAGTCTGAAAATTTAATACAAGCTTTCTTATATATTGTTACAATATCAGTTGAAAAATTTTAAAAATACATAGGCACGATTTTTTTTTATAAGCATTTAAAGTTGGAATTTTGACAAAATTTATCAAAATCTCGAAAATTATCAATCGTTGGAATTAAAAAATTATAAAATGTTCAGTTTTATAACTAAGAGTTGAAAATTTAAAACAAAGATTCTCTTAAATAATTCATACTGTAACCAAAAAATCTAAAAAATATATAAACACACTTATTTTTTACAGACATTTTAATTTCAATTTTAGACAAAATTTCATATTTAAACCAAGAATTACGATTTTAGTTATTTTGTTGTGATTGTATAATATTATTCGTGGGTACTTGAAATTTCTAAAGTAATCTACTATATATATCTATGATAGTATCAGGGTTTGTTGTTGGTGTATAACGCGTTATAAGTACCTAATGGATATTGTGATATGATTAATTTGGAATTCATTATAGGTCAATTTTTTTTAATACCATAGATATGTATATAATATGTCTTATACCTAGAAGGACATACCGTCTCCGCTCAGAATCGTTTTTATTATACAATGATATTATATCATTGAATTCAAATTTAATACCATCCATTATACAATGACCCACTTGTAACCTACTGTACAGCAGAGCGACACCCACTTGCCCACCTTTTTTTTTATATTTTTATTTATATTTTTGTGTCTGTCATCACGTTTTAGGACAGTAAAAATGCTTACAACATTGGATTTTCACTCGATTTCTCATGTAGCGATTTCCTTATTTTGTTGTAATTCAAAAACGAATAACTGTAGATACATGAAAATTTCACTGAATGTTTATATTAGCATTTCCTATACACCATACAATTTTGAAAATATTTTGACTCTTTTTGAGCTGTTTATGGACATTTACAGCTTTCAATTTTTTTTAGTTTTTTTTTCTATAAATATCAATAAAGTTTTATCTGTTGGGCCAAAAAGTGTAAAAATTTAA